AAAAACGTAAGTCTTCCTCTCCCAACCGTAGTTTTATTTTGTTGTGAATCACTGCCATTTGAATTCAAATTTTTCATTTTGAACTTTTTTGCATGCAATTCGATTTGAAATGTTTTTATTCGATTGACGCAGTCTTATCGTGTTTGATCATTTGCTGTGTTACACGGACATTGTCTCGAAGCAATGTAAAGTAACTTTCCATGAAGTGGGAAATCAGAGTATTTAAATGAATTCCACCACTTCCATCCGAATAGTATTAATAGTGAGCACCTGGAGAACGTCAAGCCCACAATAAATACTACTCATTATGGTTGCGGCAATCAACCTGATCTATGCAGCATCTTCAGATTTTGAACACTCAAGAAATTAGGAAAGCACGAAGGAATGGTACTGTACCAATACGGAACAATGTCTCCGGTGAGCAACCGATTATTTCAAAGCTTTACCGTAAAACATTGCCCCTCACTGGTACAGAATCCAGCAAGATTTTACTCCAGGAGTATTTTGGACTTAAACATTTCGGGAACGGCACAAATACAGCTCGCTGCATTGGGCCTGTGATGTGAGGAACAATCAGACAACATATCACAGCCAATACAGCTGCTGTTCTTGATACTTCCAGGACTTGTAAGTTAACGAGGAGGTCAGGAGCAAGCGAAGGGTTATATAAGCGGACAATTGAATGACTTCGATATCGAAGATTAGATCCTTTTATAGAGAGATTTGAGGGCGTTACGGAAAAGAGGCGCGACGTTGCGCACCGCCTTCGAGTTGATCTAATGGATCAATGGATCAGCAAGGCGGAGCAGTACATTCAACAGTAAACATTTCTCTCAACCAATCATTTCTTTCTTGCAACTATTAAACATTTCAAATGTTGGCGGCAATGTGATCTATTCTCAAAATTACCTAAAACTTATGGAATGTAATATTTGAATAAAATGGAAAAATAAAATTCCATTTGGCAATATATGAAAATGCTTAGTAATCAGAGATGAGAGAATTGAAATTTATCCTGGAAAGTTGTGTATTTTAATGCTAACAAAATTAAATTAAATTTGGTATACCAAAAGGCGAATTATTTTGCGTAGTTTTACTTTAATTTTTAGTTAGTGAAAAATAGTCAAAAGAAGTTAACCCAAAAAGATAAATTTGTAATTTTTAGTTAGCAAGACTGGTATATCGCCCTTCTTGGGACAAAATTATTATAATACTATTTGTGTTTGTAATTTTTAAGCAAAAATTCATGTTTTAATTTGATGAAAATATAATGCAGCAATTGCAATGCTTCTCCATAATTTGATATTTTGAAGTAATCAGAAATTTCCAACCAAAATCCGGATACAGACTACTTTCAGTGCTTTTTTGTGCATGTAAAATCGCATGATTGTTTACAGCGGTATCGGAATGCAATTTAATGTCATTAAAGAGTGTACTAAGCGCTGTAATATGAACTACATGATGGCTTATCACCAGTACTATTTTTCGGATTTCGATGCTTATATTCATGTATTCTGAGACTATTTCACTTTCATAGCATTCAGTAGCATTTGATTCCTTAAGCTACAGAATGTCAGTTAGACATTCTCGGCTCGAGGCATTTTTAGATGGCCGTTACTGCTACTAAAGAGAATAGTACTCCCAGTGGGCATTTCATAAATTTCAAGCGCAACTGTGGAATACTATCCTTTTTGGTAGCAATTCATAACAGGAAATGACATTTTTGCAAAAGAAACTGAGCACACCATATTTTTTTGTGAGCGCGCACGTGTAATTTGATCGTAAAATGTACGCTAAATGGCTGCGGATAGTGTAATAATCATTCTAATAGAATATAATTTGGGATTAAGTAGAGCAAGCTTGCTGTATCGGTCCTTTGATATACGAGATAATTAAACGATACATAACAATGATGGAATTGTTATTAGTACTTTTAGAGATGTGATAAGATAAAAGATTTAAGATACTCGGGATATAGCCCTATCTCTGAATGACTTGCATACCAGAAATCGGAGGTTTTTATATAATTGTTTGGGGCTATTGCAGAAGAAAAACAACATATTAAACGCCTCCTCTGTCTACTGCATTTGCAATCAGCATATGAAGTAAGAGGCGGACTAACCGGTGAAGCAATAATATGCACTCTTTCTCTTACTATTTCATCCATGATTTTTTTCACTGACTACTCTAAGATATTATACATGAAATGACCATAATCAATTGTTCTGAATTGCTCTGCACCCAACTTAATATTCTATCCAACATTTGTGCTCGGATAACAGTCTGTTATCCCTATCACAATTGCAGGTAAGAAATATCACTGTATCGAATCAGCCTGAGGAAGAGAATTTCATTCATTGCATTGATATTGAACTGAGATATTCAAATCAAAAGAAATGTCAATGGATATTGAAAATATAAGTTATTATAGATATTTATTAAAGAATGCTTTAAAAAATCAATGAATGTTGCTAAAAATAATGAAACTTGGTGTCTTTCAGCAGAAAAAAAATCGTTAGCGATGTCCTGTTATCCGATTACTTCATTGGAGGGGTCATTGCAACGATGCATTAATGACCTAATTATTGAATATATAAACGAAGTTTTGGATGGGAGAAAAAAGGTCAAAATATAAGTAGACTAAACTATATAATTTCATACCTAAAGAAACATGATAGGTTTATAATGAGCACTACCGATACGATAAGATCAATTGATCTTCACATGCCGGATTAAATAAACCGACTTGCTCATTTGAAATGAGTTCAACAGGTATTGATTAGTGCTGATATCAAGAGTTTGAATGAAGCTTTTATCTGCGGCTCTCTAGAAATAAATATATTTTCAAGTTTTTTCCAGAAATTAGTAAGCTACCAATACAGAAACGATGCACCTAATGGCTTAAATGACCTCCTTATTCTTTTAATGGGCTGGATACTAATTTCAATTCTCTTGTAGTCTTCAATATACCATTTCAAACTTCTACTCCTATTTTCATATAATCTTAAATTATTATTTGTCCCCATTTTACAGCCGCAGTTGAAAAATTGATAGATCTAAAACAGAAAATGGAATCAGGATTAGTCATAGAAAAGATGCTGGTTTGGCGATTCGACCACTTTATGCATTCAATCACCAGCGCAGGCAATTTCAATTACCGTTTCATAATTTGCTTTAACCGCTCATGCAATTGCCGACGAAATTTAAAAAACGTAAGTCTTCCTCTCCCAACCGTAGTTTTATTTTGTTGTGAATCACTGCCATTTGAATTCAAATTTTTCATTTTGAACTTTTTTGCATGCAATTCGATTTGAAATGTTTTTATTCGATTGA